CACACACTCTCTCTCTAACACACTCACTCACTCACACTCTCTCACTCACACACACACACACACACTCACTCTCTCATTCACTCTCTAACACACACACACACACACACACTCACTCACACACTCTCACTGACTCACACACTCACTCACACTCTAACACACAATCACACTCACACTCTCTAACTCACTCTTAACACACTCACACACACACTCTCTAACACACACACACTCACTCTCTAACACACACACACTCACTAACACACACACTCACACACACACACTCACACACACCCTCTAACTCACATACACACACTCTTAACACACACACACACTCTAACATACACACACTCTCTAACACACAATCACACTCACACACACTCTTAACACACTCACTCACACACACACTCACTCACACTCTCTAACTCATCTTAACACACACACACACTCTAACATACACACACTCTCTAACACACAATCACACTCACACACACTCTTAACACACTCACTCACACTCTCTAACTCACACACACACTCTTAACACACTCACTCACACACTCACACTCACTCTCTAACACACACACTCACTCACACTCTCTAACTCACATAAACACACACACACACTCTAACATACACACACAATCACACTCACACACACTCTTAACACACTCACTCACACACACACTCACTCACACTCTCTAACTCACATAAACACACACACACACTCTAACATACACACACAATCACACTCACACACACTCTTAACACACTCACTCACACTCTCTAACTCACACACACACTCTTAACACACTCACTCACACACTCACACTCACTCTCTAACACACACACTCACTCACACTCTCTAACTCACATACACACACCAGCAGCCACTGACAGCTTGGACAAACACACACTAACTGACACAAACACACACACTCAAGCAGACATTAAGTGGGTTTACATTTGTAGTTCACTTCTTTTTTTTTTTTTCTATTTGTATAGCACTTTATACAATACTGATCGTGTCAAAGCAGCTTTACAGAGTCAAGCAGGAAAATAGTTTCTCAATAATGCAAGAAGACAATAACAGAGTCATTTTCCAGCTGAAGTCAGTTCATTGATGATTCAGTGAAGTCTTCATCCAGTTCAGCTCGTTTGCTTTGGCTCGGAACAAAAACGGAAATGATACATTTAGTTCTGATTCACATTCACACAGCCATTCGAACCCCAAACCTAAAGATACAAAACAACTGGTGTGATTGTAGCTGCATTTATATGACATTTCATAAAGAGATGTTCACACTTGGCAGGTTTGGTTCAATCAAAATTAAATTAAAACGAACCCTGGTGCAGTTCCACTGATATATGACATCTAAATGAACCACAAACAGGATGTGATGTCACAACATCTAAAGGACAGGATGCTCACACATACCTGGTTCTGTAGCATGCTGCTGCTTCTCTCTTCAGAGTTATTCGCTGGAAAACACCTCCATGTGTTAGAGCTTTGTACCCGAAATCATTTACAGATCAAATCGGTTTGTCACAACAAATAACTTTTTGAAATATGCTGCGTCTCAGGATTACATGCAACGGCAAAAGCTGTGCTTTCCGCACACATGAATCAGTCTGTGTGTGACATGAACCACTGGACTGACACACGGTCACACACACACAGACAGGTAAACACTTACTGACGTCACTCAATGATCAATCACTCTCTCTTCAGGTTTCAGATTTGTATTTATTTCGATTACAGAGAAAGAGAGGCTTTTGTCAAATATTCCCAACATTAAAAAATTATCGCATAAAAAAGTGAAAGACCAAAAAAACAGCAGGATGATCTGGTTATTTAAGGCCCCTTAAAGAATAATTTTCAGACAGTCTGATGTTTTAGTAAAGTGTCCCAGTGTGATTGAGTGATGAAGATGAAGATGATGATGAGATCAGTCAGAATCTCAGCAGCTCCTCACTCCGCCGGCGTGACCAGCGTCTCCATCTGAAGACAGAGACAGACGTTACTGTAACAGAGAGTTACTCAAACCCACAGAAACAGTCACATCAGATGCTGCTGATGATGCAGTGACACGACACACAGTAGAATACTCCACTATAGTCACTAGGAGAGATTTTACTACCAGTGGCATAAAAAAATAAATCGGTAAATATGTTTTCATTTAGTTTTTATTTACTGAGCAGAATGTAAAAAAAAAAAAAATCACTAACCATGTTCTCATGCATCATGATTCATCAATAACTTTAATGCAAAAATTCAAAATTTACATAAAAAACAAATGCAAGAACTATTAAAACCACAAGTACGCAAAAAAAAAAATCATGATTTATACATATTATATAGATATATTTAATTTTATAGATATTTAATGCTTATTATATATGTATTTTAATAATAGATTTTTAAAACATAATAAAAATATATTATTTAAGTATATTTAATGCCTATCATTTATATATATATATATATATGTATGTGACCCTGGGGCACAAAACCAGTCATAAGGGTCCATTTTTTTTTTTATTGAGATTTATGCATCATCTGAAAGCTGAATAAGTAATCTTTCCATTGATGTATGGAAAGATTGAAAGATTGAGATGAAAATCTGGAATCTGAGGGTGCAAAAAAAATCTAAATATTGAGAAAATCATCTTTAAAGTTGTCCAAATGAAGTTTTTAGCAATGCATATTACTAATCAAACATTAAGTTTTGATATATTTACGGTAGGACATTTACAAAATATCTTCATGGAACATGATCTTTACTTAACTAACTAATGATTTTTGGCATAAAAGAAAAATGTATAATTTTGACCCTTACAATGTATTGTTGGCTATTGCTACAAATATACCCCAGCGACTTAACACTGCTTTTGTGCTGCAGGGACACACACACACATACATATATATATATATATATAATTTCTTTATTAAATTTTTTTAAATGATATATATGGTATCTATATCTACACTTGGCAGTGTGTTAGTTACATCAAACCAGCAGGAGAGAAACTGAAATCATCAGATAAACATGCTGGAGAGACACAAGCAGCTCATCTACAGGGAATCGGCATACTGTAGCGCCACCATGTGGTGAACACGTGCTCTGCAGGAAGTGAGGCATTAGAGCAGGAAGCTGCAGGAACACATGCAGACACACAGACAGACAGAGGGCAGCACTGAGCAGAAGTGATGAAGAAGGGAGGACTAAAACAAGAGCTCAAACCTGATAATAAGGGCTTCCTAGACTCGTCCAGGACCTGATGGAGACCAAGTCACATTTCAAGTCTTATAACACAGCATACACACATATATCCGTTTCTCGGATAACACATCTCTCTCTCTCTCACACACACGGACTTCAAGTCCCCGTCCAGAAACACCGCTTCATTATTATTGTTTAGGCAAATATGCTGAGACTTTAAAAACTTTAGCTTGCTCTTAGTTGCATTTATTAATTTAGCAGACTTACAGTGCATTCAAGGTTTATGCATTCGCTGGGAATTGAACATAAGAACCATGAACATTTGCTGTTAATTTACTCTTCCTCAGGCCATGGAGGCGGCTTTTGTTCTTCAGTAGGACAGTAAAGATGATTTTTAGCTGAAGCCGTGCTCCTCTGTGAATCATAAAACTTGCTACCGTCACTTTGAGAGTCAATAATCAATATCAGGGAACATTAAATGAATCCCCGTGTCTCCTGGCGATATACTGAGATCTTCTGAAGCGAAACGATCAGTCTGTGCAAGAAACTGAACATTATTTACAGCATTATTACTGTAATCCAGAGCCTCAGACAAACGGGGAAATATGATTCTTTTCTGCGAACTGAATCTTTCGGACTGTTCGTTTCAATGAACTGATTCAGTTCACTAGTTTGTTTACGTAATCACACGATGACGTCACGTATACGTGATTAAATTATTAAAGCACTCAATAATGATGTGAAACGTGGATGTTTTGCACGTCTAAAGCATATAAAGTGAATAAACTAGTCTTCATCAGCTCACCTTTTTACATAAACACTGAGAAACCATGAAACCTTCATTTGGCGCTTGATTGAAGTGTTGGGTTCACGGTGTTCAGTCCGAGTCGAACCGTTTGCTCAGTTCAGAGACTGTTGAGGAACTCAAGCGCTGAATCAGTTCATTCATCAGAGAATCAGATTCGACTCATTTCATCCAGTTCTCGAAAAAGATCCGGTTCAAAAGATTGATTCGTTTGTGAACCGAACATCACTCCGGACCGTTTGTCTGAGGCTCTGGATTACAGTAATAATGCTGTAAATAATGTTCAGTTTCTTGCACAGACTGATCGTTTCGCTTCAGAAGATCTCAGTATATCGCCAGGAGACACGGGGATTCATTTAATGTTCCCTGATATTGATTATTGACTCTCAAAGTGACGGTAGCAAGTTTTATGATTCACAGAGGAGCACGGCTTCAGCTAAAAATCATCTTTACTGTCCTACTGAAGAACAAAAGCCGCCTTTATCTTCGACGGTTTGGGAGTAAATTAACAGCAAATGTTCAGTTTTTAATGAACTATGACTTTAAGCTGTAGAAATGTGCGCCGCTGCAGATTTGTTGATGCTAATGTCGTCTGAGTTTTGTACTAGGGTTGCACGGTTCACTACGGTAGTATCGCGATACTAAAACACTGGTGGTGCCACTGTATTTCTTAAACGGTAGGATCGTCATTACAGTTCTGCTGTAAGTAATGCTGTATGTGGGGCAGTCGCTAAAATGTTTGAACACTTGTGCTGCAAATAAACAATACAATAGTGTCTTTAAGGGCGCAAAATGCTGTGTAGAGTTGGCAGCGGTCTCACACTGGATGCAGAAGCAGACACACACACGTTTGCATGATAACAATAATCTTAACATTAAGATATACTCTACCGGATAAAAGTTTGGGATCAGAACGATTTTTAATGTTTTTAAAGAAGTCTCTTCTGCTCATCAAGGCTGCATTTATTTGATCAAAAATACAGGAAAAATGTAATATTGTGAAATATTATTATGATGTAAAATAACGTTTTTCTATTTTAATATACATTAAACTGTAATTTATTTCTGTGATGCGCAGCTGTATTTTCAGCATCATCAGTGTCACATGATCTTCATAAATCATACTAATATGCTGATTTATTATCAGTGCTGAAACTGTAATATTGTTTTGGAAACTGTGATATTTTTTCAGGATTCTTTAATAAAAAGTTTAAAAAAAGAGCATTTATTTAAAATAGAAATCTTTTCTAACAATATACACTAGTGTCAGCTGCGCATCACAGAAATACATTATATTTTAAAGGATATTATAATAGAAACCATTATTTTATATTGTAACAACATTTTGCAAGATTACTGTTTTTTTCTGTATTTTTGATCAAATAAATGCAGCCTTGATGAGCCGAAGAGACTTCTGTAAAAACATCCCAAGTCTTATTGATCCGAGTAACTGATCTCAGTTCTCATGGCGTCGTGATACTTCAGCTGGTCCAGTATGGTTACGTGTGTTTATGGTATCGTGACCCTACTCTGTACTGTAGCTCGTGTGTGTAGAAGCGCTTGTGTGCGAGTCTGTTACAAGCTCATGAAATCACATCCAGACTGCTGCTCGTCTGCTAAGAGACAGAAGGGACAGAAGCAGGAGAATCCTGTCACCTGGTAGGTCCCGGTGCCGCTCCAGAAGTGTGTGAGCTCCTTGCGGACGCAGGCGAGGACGGCGCTGGTCAGGAGTGTGCAGGGAACCAGGTAGAGCAGCGCCGGCTGACCCATCTTCGACAGCAGCATCACTGTGAACGTCAGCACCAGACCCACAGCGTACGCTGCAGAACAACACACCGTTACAGCGCTCTGAACACAGCATTACTGCAATCTGAGTCACGATGCTCGTACCGACGGCGCAGGAGATGAAGTAGATTCTTCTGGAGTTTCCCATCCACACGTCAAACCTGTGGCAGTACGCCACCAGCAGACCTGCAGACAGAAACCGGCGTAAACACGAGGCCATCAGGAGACAAAGGCATGGGTTTGCAGCGAGTTCAGGGTTTAAACGAGTGATGCACTTGAGAAAGCCTACCTACTGATCTGCTACTTAAGCTTTTTATTCTTCTTCTTAGTAGACTCAATTTCTGAACGCTGCTCCTCCTAGAGCTTTCAAGCTAGAACCACCAAACTCAGCCCAGCTCTTCAGACCGATCCGACTTATGGTTTTCATAAAAATGAAGATTAAAAATCATAAAAATCCCATAGATTTACATTGACGGAATGTTCAGATGAGCCAAGACTATTCAAACTCCAACTGTCAAAATTCAAATCTAAATACACTGAAGCCAATTAGACTCAATCAGACTTCCCTTCTATGTACTATTTCTAATCAAATTAAACTCATTCAAACTCATCTAATATTTCTTATCTATCTATCTATCCATCCTAGCAACATGCTAATCATGCTAGAAACATGCTAGTAACATGCTAGAAACATGCTAGCGACATGTTAGTAACTGGCTAATCATGCTAGAAACATGCTAGCGACATGTTAGTAACTTGCTAATCATGCTAGAAACATGATAGTCACTTGCTAATCATGCTAGCAACATGCTAATCATGCTAGAAACATGCTAGCGACATGCTAGTAACTTGCTAATCATGCTAGAAACATGCTAGTAACTTGCTATTCATGCTAGCAAAATGCTAGTTACTTGCTAATCAGGCTAGCAACATGCTAGTAACATGTTAATCATGCTAGAAAAATGCTAACGACATGCTAGTAACTTGCTAATCATGCTAGAAACATGCTAGTCACTTGCTAATCATGTTAGCAACATGCTAATCATGCTAGGGACATGCTAGTAACTTGCTATTCATGCTAGCAACATGCTAGTTACTGGCTAATCATGTTAGCAACATGCAAGTAACATGCTAATCATGCAAGAAACATGCTAGCGACATGCTAATCATGCTAGAAACATGCTAATCATGCCAGCAATATGGTAGTGACAGGCCAATCATGTTAAAACATGCTAATCATGCTAGAAACATGTTATCAACATCTATCTAATCTAAATTTTCAACTTTCAGGCTTTTACAACTGCTTTAAACTTTCAGGCTAGGCTTTCTCAAGCCAACCTAAAGTTTGTCTTGACAAACTATTTTATCTAGATTAATTTTAACGTTGCTCATTCATCACTGAGTCAAAGCTGCTGGCTCGAGGTGGTGTTTGGTCCTGATCACAAGGACGCGTGTCGTATGATGCATGTGAAGCTCTGACCTGGTATGATGATGTCACCGTAGCCCAGGATGGAGAACTGCATCATGCACAGATTCTGAGCCAGCGCAGAGAACTGTGGGATACGCATCACTACCGGCAACTGGAAAACACACAGGCTTTATATAATCACACAGCTATATATTCACAGTTGGATATATAATGCACACAACACGCATAAAGCGATAAATACTACACGGCAAATCTCAGCTGCTTGATTCTTTATATTGTTACAATATGTGTGTGTGTGTATGTGTATGTGT